AATTCTCGTGTGAGTGTAAAGGTGATTACCCTAAACCCTAAACCCTAAACCTTACAAACTCTAAACCCTAAACCTTCAAGATATTCCCCGAGACCTCGTAGGCCCTCAAACCCCCCGAAAGAGACTTCCTAACAAGTTTAGGGTTTACCAAATTAAATTAAGAGTTTAAAGTCTAGAGCTTAGAGAGTTTAAGGTTCAGGGTTTAGGGACAAGTGACAAGGAGGTATTAGACCGCCTCTATAGGTTCCTTAGACAGCCTCTCGGTGGTAAGGCTCCAACTATACAAACCGGGCCGATGTTGGCGTCTCAAGTGCACAAATAGGATGACCTGAACCCTAAACCTTCCCTGAACCTTAAACCTAAACCCTAAACCTTCCCTAAACCCTAAACCGTCCAAAACTGTAGCCGACTCCGCCAGAGCCCAGGTCCTCGTGGCTGTCGACAGCATGCGGAACATCGCACTGCAGCTGCGCGAGCAGGTCACCATGCCGTCCCATTGCGTCGGATGCTTGGGTGGGGCCTGGGGTTTAGAGATGATGCACCAGGATGTATGAGTTCTATTCAGGATTTAACGGTTAAAGGGACATGGTTCTTAATGACTAGCAGGGCTTTTTGGGTGTATTATAGGAGTGCTGGGGTGGGGCTCAGGGGCCATTCGAAGAACTTGGACTTAGGGCAACAGTGTTCACGGCCTGAACCCGGAAACCCGTTTCCGGATTCTTGGGGAGGCTGCATTGAAAGGGTAAAGCAAGATCAGTCGTCTCTGTCACTTTGGACACCGCGGCCTACAGTAGGGCCTACTTCTTCCCAAGCCGGACATGAACCAAGGCGGCCCACGTTTCGGGATATCGGTTGCAATTCGGGAGCCCCTAAGCTTAAGCCAAAGCCTTACGATAGTGGCCTAATTAGATTAGAACAGGCTTTTGGGGTACCTTGTAGAATATTACTGTGTTAAGGGAAACCCTAAGGAGCCGGGTTGGCAATGGATTACTCAAGCGTTCGGAATTCGATGCTGCACCACCGCGCCCTTTACCAGGCCCGTCCTTTGCCTTTACACAAAGCCCTGGTCATGAGAGGTTAAGGCATGTCAAAAGTCCCGAGCCGAACCGACAGTCATAGGGACCCTTAGCTAGGTCGGTATGGGGTAGTGGGGTCCGGTACCATACTGAGTCCTTCTTAGGGGCTATTAAGGCCCCCTGCCGCCCTAAAGGGACCTTATGGGCCAGAACCTCATAAATGAGCTTCAATGATCTAGAATAGATATTTCGTCTGTAAAGTTTGGTTTTTTATTGACATGAGTCGCAGTAATGAAGAATATTGTTTTGTATTCACTGTATTCACTACAGTCATTCGCCATAGCATTACGCAATTGCCTCGAACACACAGAAACAGTGGCTGCATCCTAAGCGCCAAACCAGACACCGTAAACCCGTAACCCAAGGGCTCCTGTACCTATCTATACGGTGTGTATGAATGTGTGTGTGTGTGTGTTTACATATTACGTACTTATTTGTGTATGTACTAAGGCCTCAAACTAAAGGGGCTCGCACGTAGCAACTTACGACCGAAAGCACGCACCCTCTGTGCGCATCCTCTCTGTGCACATGGACCCTTTCGGGAGTTGTAGATACCTACCTTGGAGGCCAAAAGGCCGCTATCAAACCCTTGAAGCCCTTGAAGGGTTAGCTAGGGTTTAGGGTTTCCCTAGTGAGCCCTTAGGGGTACACTGTCTAAGCCCTGATGTGAACAAGGTGCCACTCGCCGGTCTTCCGCACCTGCAAAGGCTTTTGTTTAAGGCCTCAACAATTAAGGCACTCGTAGCCCCAGGCGCACTTACCCATGCTAGTACATGTGCATGCACGTCCGATCCCATGAAACACGAAGCCATAGCGGTCGGGCGAAGCTTTATCGTTGCTGCACATTTGGCGGGTCTATGGCTGGTTAAATAGTTTGAAGCTATGGCCAGTAGGGCAATTAGCTCAGTGTCATCCTTGATGTTTCGGTGATGCATGTAGCTTCGAAGCCACAACGTTTCATGTCCTAAACCCGCAAAGCCCATGCCGCCGAAACCCGGCCTTTTCAACCCTAGACATGTCTGAACCCCAAACCCCAAGACGACCCAGACTCAGACCCCGAACCACCCTTCACAATAACACCTAAACACCTACTGGCACGGAACGGGAGACCGAACAGCGACGCAAGTAGATACTACTACGAGTTCTTCCGAAATCTATATCCCTGAACCCGATACGCCAGTAACTCTAGACCTTAAACCCTAAACCCCTGAAGCCTAAACCCTAAAACTTAGACCCCTAAGCCCCATAAGCAGGAACCCAAAATCTCCTCCAAAGAGTTCCGCGCCTGATTCGGAAGGCAGCCCAACTCGTTGCCGCTGTAGTTTGTGAAGCAGCTTGGGATCTGGGCATTGCAAAAGCAGGTAGGGTTTAGGGTTTAGGGGTTTAGGGGTTTAGGGTTTAGGGTTTAGGGGTTTAGGGGTTTAGGGTTTAGGGGTTCAGGGTTTAGGGTTTAGCCACAGAAACTGAGTCCTTAATAGGGGATGGGTTCAGGGGTTTAGGGGTTTAGATTTTGGGGTTTATCCATGAATCGGCCTGTTCTAAGCTCTTTGTTTAATATTCACGCGCGCCATGAAATCATAAACTGCCAACCCCTAAACCGTACGCCCCAAACCCCAACCCAAAGCCCCCTTAAACCCAAATCCCAAAACCCTAATAGGGTTTAGGGTTTAGGGTTTAGGGTTTAGGGTTTAGGGTTTAGGCCCTAAATCCTAAAGCCAAACCCTAAACCCTACGCCCTGGGCCCCGGGGAACTTCAATATCAGGCTCCTGTGCTCCCACCCCGAGATGTTCCAAATAAGTAGCGCTTCTTAGGGCTTATAAACCCTAAACCCGACAAGACGTTCAAGAAGAGTATAACTCCACGTTACCCATTCTTTTTGCAGGCCAAGACTCCAAGCATATGGGTAGTTCGCTAAATTAGGGTCCCTTTTAGGGACCTTGTAACGAGGGTGCCGCGCTATTTTCAGGGCCTAAGAAGGGACCCTAGTTTAGAGAGCTACCCATATAAATAGTATCTGCCTTGGGGCCTAAAGTCTTTAACTTTTCCCCTCGACCCTAAGCCCCTAAACACAAATCCCTAAACCCCCAAACCGCACTTACTCGAGTCTGAGGGGTCAGCACAGGAACTGTGGAAGTTTCATGCGCGTTCGTTCTGAAACCCACAACAGTCATCTGCAACAACCCTAAAACAATAAAACCTCCGAATCTCCACAAGCCTAGACCCTAAACCCTAAAACCCTAAATCCCAACCCCTAAA